GGTTTCGAATCACCCGGCGTTGACTTTTCATCGTAACGCGTTGACTTGCATTGACCTAGGGTTATACGTTGACCGACGTTGACCTTAGGGTTTCGGATCGACCGGTGTTGACTTTTCATCATAACGCGTTGACCAACATTGACCTAGAGTTACGCGTTGACCGGTATTGACCTTAGGGTTTCGGATCGCCCGACGTTGACTTTTTATCGTAACGCATTGACCGGCATTAATCTAGGGTTACACATTGATCGGTGTTGACCTTAGGGTTTCGGATCGCCCGGTGTTGACTTTTTATCGCAACGTGTTAACTAAAGTTGACCTAACGTTACGCGTTGACCAACGTTGACCTTAGAATTTCGTGTCGTTCGACATTGACTTTTTATCGCAACGCGTTGACTGGCGTTGACCTAGGGTTACGTGTTGATCGGCGTTAACCTTAGGGTTTTGGATCATTCGGCGTTAACTTTTCATCGTAACGCGTTGACTGGCGTTGACCTAGGTTTACGCGTTGATCGACGTTGACCTTAGGGTTTCGGATTACCCGACGTTAACTTTTCATCACAATGCATTGACTGACGTTGACCTAGGGTTATGCGTTGACTTTTTATCCCAACGCGATGACTGACATTAACCTAGGGTTACGCGTTGACCGATGTTGACCTTAGGGTTTCGGATCGTTCGACATTGACTTTTCATCACAACTATTGACTGGTGTTGACCTAGGGTTACGCGTTGACCGACATTGACCTTAGAGTTCAGATCACCCGACGTTGACTTTTTATCGCAACGCGTTGACTGGCATTGACCTAGGGTTACGCGTTGACCGACGTTGACCTTAAGGTTTCGGAGCACCCGGTGTTAACTTTTGATCACTACGCGTTGACCGGCGTTAACCTAGGATTACGCGTTGACCGGCGTTGACCTTATGGTTTTAGATCGCCATGTGTTAACTTTCATCACAACGCGTTGACTGACGTTGATTGGTATTGATTTTCATCAGAAAAACCAATGACCGGCGAAAACAGGCGAAATAAGGTCATGAAAAGCACTTAGGGCCTGACCTGGGCTCGAGACACCACTGGGTGTCTCGGCCATTGGGCCGAGACACCTCTATGTTGTCTCCTTTTTTTTTTTGGTCTCTTGTGTACTCTTACTTTCCCCTCTCCCAAAATTTCAAATTAGAATCCTTTTCCCCCTAAAACTCCTCTATCTTCCTCCTCTTACCAAAACCCATTATTTCTTTTCTTCAAGAACTCTTAACCCATTAAAACTCTTGCCTTTAAAACCCCTCAACCCTTCAAAAAGAATTTCAGATTTTTATCCTCCTTATTGGCCGAAATTTGTCTCCTCTCAAAGCTAGGGTTTTTTTGCATCCTCAACCTCAAGACTTGGACTTTTGAGTTGGGTTTTTAAGCTTCTTGGTTTGGGTAAGCACTTTTCTTCATCCCCTCTATATTATACACTTGATTTTGATACAAAAGTTTATGGTTTGGATGTAAAGAATGAAACTTTACTTGTAGTGTGGGTATGTAATGCAAAGATCATGCCTTTTTGCCCTCATGAGGTGGGTTTTTTGAAAAAGATTGAATCTTGATGATGGGTTTTGAAAAAGACCAAAATTTTGAGGGGCTTATGTGCAAAAATAAGGCTAAAATTTTGAGGGGCTTTTGTGTAAAATAGGGCTAAAATTTTGAGGGGCTTTTGTGCAAAAGTGGACTGAAATTTTGGGACTTGGATTGTATGCTCATTTGGCCTAAACTTTGAGGGGTGCTTTATGTAAAAAGACCACAAATTGTTGAGGGGTTTATTTGCAAAAAGCAACCGAATATTGTAGAGGGGCTTATTTGCAAAGGGGCTGAAATTTCGAGAGTTTGGACTACACACCCATGACCAAAAGTTTGAGAGGTGTATGTGCAAATTGGGCCAAAATTTATAGGTGTTCATGACTAACTTTGAGCCTCGAAAATGAGGGGTATTTCGGGTATTTCACCCCAAAGTTGATCATGAAGGATTT